TCATTAATCTGTGTGCATGAGCTTGTTCGTCGGACATAAAGTCGTTGGCTAACCAATCCCATAGCAGGATATTTGTTCCTGTCGCCTCTCGCTATCTCACTCTGTGGCCTCACTTTGCCGCACAGCAACAAACTGGCGGACACTTATTAGCCTCGAGTACATCAATCATCGGCTTGTTTTAATTTTAAAAAATCGCACGCTGTTCAGCGTATCGTCCTGTCGTATAATGTTGGGCCAGGCCTCTGCCAGGGGGTTGTTGTGCGCAAGTTTTAGCACTTAATTAAATGCCGCACGCCACCGCCCCCCGTTGGGCGTCGTCGTCGTGAATGGAATCCCGCCCACTGTGCAGCATGTGCGGTATCTCTTTCTGGCACAAGCGCCTCTATATGTATTCATGCGTGTGTGTGTGTGTGTATCCTTGGGAAATTTCCGAGGCGCAAGGAAATTATTGTATCATGCTTAAAGAACGCCATTTTCTTTTCGTCTGTCTGCTATGTTTTTCACTCGAATTCACTTGCTGTTGGGTTTCTCGTGGCTTGGGGCTCGTGGTTGGAAGTCGCTCAAAATTCAACTTAAGCTTCTTCCTTGTGGTCTACAGCTTGGTTGCCAAGGGAAACAGAGGCTGGGTGGGCGGGGCGTTACTGGCATGTCTGTCGGCCCAAACATGCTTATGTTGCGGACAAGATTGATCTGTTTAATAAGCAACCTTAAATTTTTATTATTAAAAGTGTAAGCCTTTTTTAATCTGCCTTTATATCCGCCATGAAAATGTTGTTATGAATACAAATTCCCTGAGCCCAGCAGGCAAAAAAATAAAAATTATGAATCAAACTCGGCTGAAAGCCTTAATAACAGCCCAGCAAAGACTTTTATTATGTATACGTGTAAGATACTTGCAAGAGCAGAGCTAATGAAATATAATGAAATTCCGTGGACTATTTTTGAGACTTGATCATGAACTGATATATTACGATTTACATATTTCACAATATGTGAAATATTTGAAGCTTACATGTCGAACATGTTTGCTATTCCCTTTTGCACATTTTGTAAGAAAACGAACTATCTAGTTAATTCAGCTAAAATCTTTTCATTCAGCTTAAGCTATAGAAGGCAACATTAAACAAAATTATGAACCCATCTTCGTGTAAAACGCATAGAAATAGGAGAGAATAGAAACGCGGTCTTAAATCTCGCATCAGTCTGAGGTTGTTGTCCAGACAAAGTTTTGCAACACATTTTTAAACCCTTGCAGAGGGTATTGTAATTTTGTCGTGAAATGAGTAACGCATAGAAGGAGACATCTCCGACCCCATAAAGTATATATATTCTTAACCAGCATCAACAGCCAGGTCGATATAGCCATGTCCGTCTGTCCGTCTGTCTGTTTCTATGCGCACTAGTCCCTCAGTTTTAAAGCTATCTTAATGAAACTTTGCAGAGCTCCCTCTATCTGTTGCACGCAGCACATATGTGAAAGCCAGCTGGATCGGGCCACTATATCATATAGCTGCCATAGGAACGATCGGTCGAAAATTAAGTTGTATGAAAAAACATTTTGTTTATCAAGATATCTTGACCAAACTCGGCATTTACTATTTTCCCGGTACTTCTTAGATAGGGGCGAAGCACTATGAGCATTATGGAAAGGTTGAGTCTGCAAGGGTATTAGATCTTTGGCGTGCTGAAGATAGCCCTTATTTCTCGTTTATTTTAACTTACGCTAGAGCTACGAATTTTTTTATAAATTTTTTTTAAGTCCATTTGCCGTTTTCTCCTTAGCTTACACGAGCTACATATCATTACACTTATACAAATTGCTTTGCAACGCACTTTGATGTACAGTCGAAGTCTTAAATACATCACAGTTATTTGGATATAAAATGTTTTTAATTTACAAAGCTGAAAACTGTGTTGTTTGTGGCCTTATTATCTTATTTTTCCTTTGTATAAATGAGATTGGGAGAAACCCTGAAATTAAGTCAACCAGAACAAGGCAGTTTTAATAAAAAAATCAATATTCAAACGAAAAACGAATAAATTTGAATATTCGCGCCAATTGGATCTGCGCATGCGATGTGATAATCACGGCATTGCCAACGTAGCTCAGTGAATTGTTGCCAATCTAAATTTAGCATAAAATCCCTTATTGCCTCCAGGTTGAATAAGTTAACGGACAGAGTTTAGTTCAAATTATTGACATGTCTTCTTTTTATCAGAAATCATAACAGATATCAAGCTTTGTTCTTAGAGTCTGGGTACGAGGTATTTCCCAGTCGGGCACTCTCGACTGAAGCATGCTTACTAATATAAGAAGATAAGACTGATAAATGAAACAGTTACATATACATATGAATATATATTCATCCTCTATACGTAGACAAATAAAACTTAGGATATGTGGGCTTCTAAAGCTGCAGGTGCTTGCGGCATTACCGAAATATTCCAAAGCCCTAAGTTAAAGCTCTTTCTAGAATTTTAATCCATCAAACGTGCGACTTTATTCAGTCAATTGTGGAATAAGTTACCGATTCTGCATGGTAGTATAACAGTGTGACCGACAGTTCCGTTCGGAAAGTATGTTCAGTTTAAATCTTGAACGATTTTCGTCAAATAGAGCAACTCGCATCGTGGAGTGTTAACACTTAGCCAAGACACACTTAATTTCCCTTCTCTCTTAACGAAAAAATTCGAATGATTATTGTAACGCGATAGTTGCTTTAACGAGCCCCTGATAAAAGTTATTTTAATTATTGGCCACCAATCATCGACTTTATTTACTTAATTTACAAGTTTATTGCAGTAGCCGCAAAGTAGTATAACAGTATGGCGACACATTGTTTCGTTAAGTGTGCGCAAGTCACATATTGATCGAATATCGGGATATATTGGCTCTCTTAAAATTACTTAACGACAGTAAAAATATGCTTCTTGTGACAAGAAGGCTCTTTTAACGAGCCCTTAGCCAAAGTTTTTCCTAGAATTATTATCCAGCAACCGTGGGACTTTATTTAGTCCATTGTGGAATTTATTACAGGTACTGAAACTAGTATAACAGTATGGCAGTTATATATTGAATGAATTTCCTACTATATAACAAATCGCATTGTAAAGAATTAACCCTTAGCCAAGACACACTCTGTATCGGACTTCTCTTTTAACGAAACCAATACCGTTTTCCTTAAACAAATAGCTCTTTTAACGAAACTTAAATCTAACCGGTTAGAACATAGTTCAGACACACACCAATAATTTGGTATAAGCTTTTGCTGAACTTAATTCAAATCTGGTTTTAAACAGATTTTTGAGTGTAACGGTATAAGTAAACCGGTGTAAATGGAGAAGGATCAATTATCCTTGAAGATCCGATGTCCAAATATCCTTTAACACTTGTGGCTTTTGGAACAAAATTGTATTGTCTATAGAAAGCGTTTATTTTAGTATATCGATTTGAAGAGAATAACATTTCCATACAAAGATTTGTTTGTCAACCGATTCTGCATCTTGTAAATGCATCTTGCATCTTGAAAATGTTCATAAAGGCCAAGATTTGAAAATATAGTCAAAAGAGAAAAATCTGCTCATACAAGAACTCAATTTTTGTCCGATCGCTTCTATGAGAGCTATATGATATTGTGATTCGATATTGCTAAGATGTGGCATATCGAGGTGGCATACTGAAACTTTAAAATTCCGAGTTTAAGTAACATTTTCATAAATAAAAAGTTTTCCTATTCGTACCCCTTTAAAACCAATAAGAAGTCTCTGCCGCCTCTACTCAACATCCATACTAGTAACTGACTTTTAATGAGAAAAAAAAACGATTAAAATAGCAGCACAGAAAAAAATACAATCGCAATTGCAATGCTGTTGATAGAATTGAATTGATTGAAAGAAGGCGCGCATGAATGTGCTATAGAATACTTGTGCATTCTCAAAAAGTCAATTGCATAAAAATTGTGGTTTATAATGATGGGTAACAAAAATTGGTTTCTTTACTTGATGTATGTGTAGCTACGAGTTATCAGCGAGGAGGTGGTGATAGCTATTAAACGAAAGATAGTTGATTTATATATATACTATTCTAGAAGGCATATATCAAGTTTAACTTGCTCAAAAATCAGGATCTCGATTTGATATCGGAGAAGGTTATCGATTATCGGATACAGACTCGTGCTGCGCATGGACTAGGAAAACCTACAGCTAAAATTTCACTCTCTGTCTCTAGCCCATATATGTTCTGAAATCCTTGCGTTCATTCATATAAACAGACAGACGGCTAGGTCTAGAATATATATATAGTTTATTTGGTCGAAAACTCTTCATTCTGCCTGTTACGTACAGTTGCACAAAATCATTATATACTTTTTACACATTTTCATTGGGTTCAGGAAATAACAAAATGTATATTGCCAGAGTATTATAGTCTGTTTCGAAATGGAAACCTAATGATATTAACTGAAGGCAGGAGGGATAAGAGACTCTGAGTGAAAGTGGCAACAATTTAATTAATTAATAAATTACTTATATAATTAAAATTTTAATTTCCTTCACATTTTTAGAGGCATAGTTAGCTGCACTATAGAGAGAAATAAAACCGCAATATTGCGCATTTTGCACATTAAAATTTATTTTGTAGCATTAGACAATTATTTTTTAAATTTTTTTTTGTATTTTACACATATTTTCACACACACAATTATAATTTTTACTTAATCAAAACTATGTTTTATCCTTTTTTTTTTTTTAATTCTTTTTCAATCCATTCATTAATTCATTTTTATGCTCCGTTTTGAAGTTGTATCAGAGCCATTTATAGTTTACATACAATGCTTGCAGTCGTTAGTCGTATGCGTGCTTATGCTAGTCAAAAAAAAAAAAATTATGTATATCTATATATTTATTCAGATAGGCATATAACATCTAATAAAAATTGTAGTAATTTTTTTTCTTTCTTCTGTTTCGCTTTTTGCTTTTTGGTTTTTGTTTTATTTTTTTTTTATACTTGAAGTATGCGTTGCTCGTTTACAAAAAAATTTGCTTTACAAAAAAACTATAGTATTATCCAAAGGCTTATTTATCTAGTAGACAATTACGAGTAAAATACTTGTAATTTAATTATTGTAGTAAAATCGCTAAATCTCTGACAAGTGAAGAACAGCTCGATTTGGAGCCGCCTGCGTCGCTTGCTTGGTTAGTTTTGCTTATATTTACACAATTTCACTAAAGTCGAATGAATTAAAAACTAAAGAAAAGTATATATATTTATCTCAACTCATTAGCCAAAGCTAGGCTTTAATTTCAGCTCAAGTTAAACTTTATTGAAATTAGATTAGCTAAGTGTGCTTTGGCCAGAATTTGATGACAACTTAATGTACAGAAACTCACATTTACGATAGCATATGTAGTATTATCCAAAGCCCGCAGCATGTCTGTGCAACTTTGCAGTTTATGAACAAGAGCTTAAGGTAAAAAAAAAAAAAACTAAAAAAATAGAAGCGTAAAAACAAATGTATTACACCTCGCTGCTCAATTGTTCAACATTTCTAGGATAAAAAAAACACCTGCTGCACAAATACATATGCCCAAATTGATGAGGAATACCACAAATAGGTATGCATGCCGCATGCCTCTATATATATATATTAAACTTGGGCCAGCAATAGGGTGTAAAAAGCGTAATCAATTTTATATTATTATCGCCCCTATATGGCGGGTGCAGCAAATGCTTTTAACATTTGCTCTTGGATTCCACATGAATTCGGTCAGCCAACAAAAAATCAACTGAAAATGGCGTATAAAAAATAATTGTAATAATGAACCAGCATATTTTTTTCGCTCCCTCTCTGCCCCTCTCAATTGCCGTCAAAAAGTAAACCCCATACAGGTTAACCCAGGTTACGTGTTTTTTTAGCAAGTAAAATGTAAAACGAAACATTTTTCCATATTTTTAATGAGTTTTGCGGTCAGAGAATGAAAATTCTATTTGATGCTGGCATTCATAATGTGTCCAACTGTCTCCGCATTTGAGCCAGGTCGCCTTTTAAGCATATACAAAAATTATCTAACGCCTGTGACTTTGCCTCAAGTGAGCGCAGACCGTTTGTAATCACCCTCTAATCCTGCTAATGATTTGTTCTTCAAAGTGCAAGGCTGCATGACAAGCGCATCAAGTTAAGAGTAATGAGTGGTTTTTGCCATTGAACCCCTCTGCCCAGCCCACAGGGCAATCGGTTCCTAATCTGTTATCCCTTGTCTCCTATACCTCCCTAGCTCTCGTGCTTATCATTGGCCGTGTCGCTGTTCGTCTTTCAATTCAATCAATCAAATTGCTTGGCATTTTTGGCATTGTACCGGGCTATCGGCCACGCCCCTCTGCACCGCAGCCCCTCAGCCACTGCGACCGTCTGTTCCAACATTCAAATCTTTCAATTTTTCAAAGCGGAAAATTCCTATTTGGAAGAGCTTGAATTATGAATTATTTATGTAGAAGAAACATTGATACAAATATTTTCAAATTGCTGACAAAGTCATCATTGTGTTTCTTCTTCTTAAAAAAAAGGTTTTTCTTAATCTTAACATTCTTAAAAATAGTATTGTTTTTAGAAATTGCACCAAACAATTTCTGTTTGTTGTATCCGTCATGTATTCTTTGCGTCATGTATTCTTTCAGTTCGAAGAACTAAATCGTTTAGATATTGATGCTCATTTCTCTAGATGAGAATTTAAATAGAATTTAAGAATATTATTTAATGTTAAAATAAGATAATTGAAAATTATATGATACGAAAGAGTTACAAAAATGCTCGACGAAAGTGAATGCTGGAACACGTCGTGATGGGAATTTTTCGGCTTCAATTGGCGCACTGTGAAAAACGTTGACCGCCAACGCAATATGGTGACCGTGCTAATTGTGAGTTGACAGTTTTCCCCCAACCTGATGGAGAGTGAAAAGCGTAAAAAGCAGAAATAAGCTACACTTGAACGCTTGAATGAGCTTGGTTGGGGCGATGTCGATGATGACTGTGCATCAAATTCATGAATTCAGAACGCAGTCCGAGAATCAAATTGACGTTGAAATATGTGAGTCTGTCCAATTAGCAGTTGTCCTCATCCTGCTGGGTACGTGGTTGGGGGTAGTTGCGGGTGGCGTTATTAAAAACAATTTAATTAAATGATTAAAACATCTCTCTACAACAACATCTCTCGCAACAACTCTAACAAGGATGAGCTGAGAGGGGAAATGCACAGAAAATCACTTAAAAACTGTTTTCACGCAAATTGCGGCAGTGAGTGGGCAAGGGGAAGGTCTGGGGAGAGGTATAGAGAGGCTAGCGTGCTGCACGTGCACGTGATGGATGGACTCTGTCTGCTGACCCACTCCCTGGACCCGGGCCTGTTACCCGGGAATTGCTTTGCGACGGCAACATCGCCATCGCCATCGCCATCGCCGTGTCACGTTCGTCATGCATGTAAATGAAGAAGAAGTTTCTGAAAGCCGCAAGTTAAGCAACAGGAGCCTGGCTGGAGCAGGGCTAGGAGAAAAGGGGAGGTTGACTATGTCGAGGCAACAGAATGCAGCTGACAATGTCCACTTGGTGGTCAACGTTTGTGTGTAAATTCGAGTTGTCGCTGTGGCTGTTCTCGTTGTTGTCGTCGTCGACGTCGTCGTCCTGGCACATGTTGTTCATACGCCACGTTGTCAAGCGTCTGCTTAGTGTCTGCACGTATGCGAGCTAAACATGGCTCTGGACAGCAGCGACTATTTATATACATATACATGTCTTCTAAGTGCTCTCTGCTTGTGTGTGAGTGTGTGTGTGTGTGTGTGTGTGTGTATGTGTCTGTCTGTGTCTGTCTGTCCTCTCATTGTTTTCGGCGAGGAACTTGCTGGCGATTTGGTTGGCAAACAGCAAAGAGGCCGAACGCCCAGCTGCCGGCGCAATTTGAGACAATGTTGTGAGCCGAAAGTGGGTGAAAAACAAGCCGAAAGAATTAAAATTACCTGGCTTTAAAGCCAAAAATGCATCTGAATGCGACACTCGCTTCCGGCCGGAAACGTGGCGTTTGCTATTCGTTTGCCTGATTGCGCCACGCCGTGTCCATGTCCGCGTCCATGTAGGTGTCCGTGTCCGAGTCCGTATCCGTGTGCATGTCCGTGTCGTGTCAACGGCGCCGCTGTGGCTGTGGTTAATATGCCAGCCATTGTTCCGTTGTTTTTGTCCACGCTGTTGTTGCTCTTGTTGTTGCTGCTGGTCACAATTGTTGTTGCTGCTGCTGTTGCTGTTGCTGATTGGCGGGCAATCCTTAAATGTCAATGGGACGTCATGATAATCACGTCTGGCGCTGAATTCCGTATGTCGATGAACACTTTGGACTCTTCGTTCTTCTGCTGTTTGCCGGCAGCGGCTCCTCCGCCCGCCTTACTGCTGGGCAGCACCGTCTGGCCATGCAACTGGCCGTGGCCCTTCTGTAGCTGCATTTGCCGCGTTGCAATGTTCGGTGGCTGGTGCTGTTGCAGTATATGCTGCTGCTGGTGCTGCTGATGTTGGTGCGCAGGATGTGCATGATGTGAGCGCTGTTGCTGCTGCTGCTGCTGCTGCTGCTGCTGTTGCAACTGCTGCTGCTGCTGCTGGTGGTGCTGCTGGTGCTGATGATGATGGTGGCAGATCTCCTGCGGCTTGACAACGGAGGCCACTATCACGCCATAATGCGACCGCTGGCCCATGCTGCCCACGCCGCTGTGCCGCTCCTCCAGCTCGAGCGACTCGTGCTGCGACGGTGCCTGCTGCATGTGCATTTGGCTGCGACGGGCCAGTGTGCCCAGCATCTGTGCCGGTGGCGGTGGTGTGGTCGCTGGCAGCGATGGCGACACGGCTACCAGGCCCGGTGCCGTGCCCTGCTCATAGCCGAATGTGGAAAAGAACCGCGGCGGCGGCGGCGGCATGGCAGCGCCCGCTGCGCTGCCACCGCCCAGCGATGATGAGCTGGACTTTTGTCTCATTAGCGTCGCAACGGCGCTAGGGCTGTTCGCAAACAGCGATTCCCTGTGGGGCGAAGGTAAGCAAAGATAAGTGAAACATTTCAATATTTGTCTTTCATGTTCCTTAAATAAACCCCACACCCCGTGCAGCACTCGTCGCACCGGAGCTCAATCAGTGCGTCTGTAGCGGGCACGGGTGCAGGGGGGGCTCCGCTCCCATCATCAGCCATATGGTCGAAAGCATGCGCGAGCCCCAAGCTTGAAGCAATACAAAGTCTGTGAACTGTGATTGTCACCAATATTCTGATTGTAACTGTTACTGTTACTTTTGCTGTTACTGTTTCTGTTGCTCTGACTGTTTATGTTCACGTTACAGATACTGTTACTGCCTGATAATATTATAGTTTATTCAGCTGTTGCTGAGACCGTGACAGTTACTGTTAATGTAACGAATGTTGCTTTAACTCTGTTACTGGCGCTGTTATCTATTCTGTTACTGTCATTAGTTAACTTTAGTTTTTTACGTGAGATTTTAAATGTTACCGGAACATTTATTGTTACTGCTCATGATGTTGTTACTCTGTCGAACCAGAGGTCTGTCTGCTACCTTACAGTTGCTATTGCAAAAACCTCTGTTGCCCTACGTGTGTCTGATAATAGTCCAGTTACTTTTACTGTTAAAAAATATATTTAGCCTAGGCTTAGTTAGTGATACCATTTTACAAATACTTTTTGTTGTTTAACTGTGACTGTTACTGTGTTGCTGCTGCTATAGAAGTCTGTTTACTTCGCTCATCTTAATGTAACTGCTACAGTTTTTTTTTTATTGAGTCATAGGTTGTTCTAGGAATGTATGTGTGCCTGTCACTGTTATCATTCATATTAGTGACTGTAACAGTGCTAGCCTCTGCGAATCATACGTATAAAGTATAAATGTTTCGGTGACTGATTTTCCAAGACCTGGCATATGACCATGTAAATTAGCGTCTATTTGGACAATGTGTAGAAAATCCTCTTCGTTAATGCTGCTTTATCTGACAATTGTGATTTTCATGTTGTATTTCGTGGCACTGACTCCGCTTCGGGTAACGCTCATCTCTGTCGCGCGTGCTTGCGTCATGTTTGTGATTGCTGTGCTACCTCGTTGCGCCCTAGACCCTACCTTTCCCATATGGGAGCTCTGACTCAGCTGTGTACAGATGGCTCCGGCCCAATGAAGACGCATGCAAATACAAATATTTGCATCGATTTGTGTTGTACAAGCATCAGGCACTGTGTTTTCGGGTCTTGTACGCGTTGTCTTGCCCATGCTCCGGCTCATAGCCATTTATATAAACGTACTGTCCCTTCATTCCATCATCAGCCGCCTCATGAAAACATTTTCATTGTTTTTGCCGTTTGCTCGTCGTTGACTTTGCAATTTGTATGATAGCTTGGGCGCGTCTAGTGTAATGCACATATGCTGATGATGATGACCACGCCAGGCCACGCCACGCCACGCCCCGCCAGGCCAGGCCATGTAATGCCAGCCCTGCCCAGCCCATATATCCCCAAAGTCCCCCATACATTTACCTCGTTTGACAGCCCATATCGCAGGCATTAACCGGTGCGGTCGCAATAGCTGCCTTTGTCATCATCATGTCATGCGTTCCCGTAGTCGTCGATGAGGACTCGCCATCGTCGCCATCGATGCCACCGCATAGGCTTGTTTGGGTCATATCTGGATGGCGACGTAATATGCTATGCTCCTTCTCCTTAAAGTCAGCCTTGCTCGACTGTGTAGATATGGGCACCGCCTCGCGATAGTAACGATTCGAAACGTCATCGAGAATTTGTAATGATGTCTGCGAATGCTTTTGTCTGCAATGCATAAAATCATAAATCAATCAATTAGCTGAAACGATCTACATAAGTCAAATCAATAAAATAGCTACAGATATGTAAATCAGCTGAGACTAATACGAGCTTAAAACCTAGCCCCTTTTTTAATTGACTGTACGAAACTGTAACTAACATTATTAAATGTTACTCTGGGAAAGCCAACTTTTAATTCGTTTAAAACATTTACAATTAGTTCAGTTCACCGGGAATTTCAAAGTCTTGCAAACATTTTACATATCTGCGTAATGAATGTTTTTCCTATTCCTTTTTTAAAAACAGTTCTCTTGTATTGTTGTGAAATTTGAGAATTTATACAATACCAGAATTGCTCTACATTTCCCTTAAAATTCTGGCAAATGAATTGGTTCATACTTTTAATTAAAGCAAGTAAGGAAATATTTATTTTTACTGTGGCACACATCATCTGGCGGTCATCATATTTCACCTGCAAACTGAAGTCTTTGTATAAATATTTAAAATGCTGCCTTCATTTGAAGTTGAAATTATTTACTGTCTTTGTTTATTCTGTAACGTTTTAAGCTCGCAGCTTTTGTCTTCTTGAATTGTTGTTTTATGCCGCAGTCGTTGGCTGCACACAAAATACTTTCGCAATAGGATTTTTAATTAGTCATGCAAAGCAGCTTCTTTAACCTTTTTTTCTGCCTTGACTAGTGCAGTTAATGTGCTCCACTTATTTTTTACGGTGAGGTGCGAAGCAATGTAGCGCAGTTGGTTATTCGGTATATACTCACCTTGATATGTTTTCGCGCGAGCGCGCCTTGGAGTTGCGACCCACCTCGTCCAGTTTGCTCTCCTTGGACTCGCGTATGTGCTCCTGGAATGACCAAGAAATGGCAGCGAAATGGCCACAGAAACCAATAAAATGCATGAGAAAGAAAGAAAGAGTGATAGAGAGTGAAAGGAGGAGAGAGAAAGAGAGAGACGGCAGCGATAACGAGATATGTATATACCCAATATATAGGTATAATAAGCGTAATAATAAATATTTTCAATTAATTTTGCGGGCCTGATGGCTTATGAAATGCTCTGGCTTGGAAGCGGGGCGCAGAGTAGCAGCGGGTAATGGGAAGCCATAAACAAAGCCTGCATTTCAAACTGTTTTAAGCAAAAGAGCTTGGTGGATGTAGCTTGGCTGCTGGCTACTGCCTGCTGGCTGCAACTGGATGCTGCTGCTGCTGCTCGATGTGTTGTTGCATTTTGTGTACACCGCGGCGTATGCGTAATATTAATTTTCAGCGCTTTAACGCTGGCTTCGGCTGTCAACTGGATAACGGGGCAGCAATTAAGTGCCCGCCACCTGATTCCTGATGCCCGACACCCCCTTCACCAGGCCATCCAAGTGCCATCCCCCGCCCACCACTCAAGACAACTGGCCATCGCCGCAGTCGATGTCATTAATACGCCGATTGTGCGCGTGGAATCGAGCAGCACTTGAGCGTGCATAAAAGGAAGCGTAAATACGCAAATACTACATAATAATGAAGGCGCTGGGTCAGGACACAACCGAACAGGGTAGGGTGAAACGGAGCTGTACGGAATGTAGCTGGCAGGGTTGAAGGGTATCAGGGCAGGTCGGGCAACTCGAGCAGGACAGTGTGCGGCTGCCAGTTGCTGGCAGTTGGCCAAGCTGAAGGAGTCCTAGCACTCCTTGCCAAGATTGCCGCATTGTGGTCGCCATTCGACATCATTCCAAACTGCATTCATAATAAAATATGCAAGTCAAACATTTGATCCACGTTTTTCCCCTTTTTCTCTCTCTGTTTATTATACAATATTCCATTTCCATTTTGTGTCCATCATTTTAAGCTGCTTGCAGTTTGAATAACTACGACTAAAACTTCAATTATAACAAAAAAAAAACTCCAAAGAAAGTAAAAGATAAAAAAACGACTGCAATTTTCAATTGATTGAAACTGAGGTTACAATATGCAAATCTCGCTATTTTATATATATATATTTATATATATATATATGTATATATATATATATTACCTTTATGGACTTTTAAAGTTTGTCTTTTTTGAGTAATTGGTATGGGTTTTTTGATTACCCTTGCGCTTTCGCAACGTATTTTTTCTTACGGTCACAACTTGGTTTAAGGTTTACTGTGTCTTATACCCTTGCAGAGGGTATTTTAATATAATCGTCTAATATTTTGTGGAATTTTCCAGATACGATAAGAAACTAAGCAATAATTTATCATATTTCAAGAATGATTTATCATTCAATGGACATCTATTTTTACGTTTAGTAGTCTGCAAGGGTATTCAAATTCGGCAGGCCGAAGCTGGTCAGTTTTCAAGTTGCACAACAGTTTTTGGCAGCATTTCCAATTTGCTTTTTATGCCCTGTTCAAAATTTGAAATAGCTTGTATGCCTTTATGCCTTTTTGTTGGAATAACGCATAAATAGTCGTGTATACCCGCGTTGGCGCTTCCCACCCAAGAGCGAGTCGAGTACGAAAACATTTTCAAGAAAATTTGGCGTATTCACCAAATTAATAAGACTAATGATGTCCTAAAACCCTTCTTATAAGCCACAATATAAGCCCTTTTAGCCCATTTTCATTTGCTTTTGGAATGTATTGTGCAGAGTATTGTGCAGTCGTTTCCAACTGGCTGCAAAGTTTTTAATTATTATTGGTTGTGACTACAAGTATTTATTAAATAGCTCTAGGGCTTATTGCTATAAAGGAAAGATATAAAAGCCAAAGCAGCATTTCAACATTTGAAACTAACTTTTCTTTTGCTTAAGAAATATGCGTTTGGAAATTACAAGTAAATAGATTTTAGTAAATGTGCGTGTGTTCTTGGTGTAGTTGTTGTTTACACTTTAAATAATTGTTAACCATTCACTTTGTGGCCCAAATCGTAGCTTAAAGTGTATTTGGCTAATTGGAATATGTATGAAACAAAAGAAATGCTACTCTGAATTAAAATCTTGATTGTGTGTGGTTCTGCTTCTGTCTGAAACAATTCATTTTGTTGTCTCAAATGTCATTTCACAGTCGTTAAATATGTTTTCAATAAATATCGCATTGAGTTCATGCGCATTTATTGTTATGCAATCTATTAATTAGGTAACTAACACGATATTCGATATATTGACGACTAATTTTACTTTATGGACTATCTAAACTAAATGCAGCTTATTTTTGTTTATGCTCATGCATTGATCATTATAATTTTGTAAATTTTAGAAGGGGATCCCTTAAGGTTTATATATTCTTGATTAGTATCAATAGCCGAGCTATTTTTTGAGCTTTCTCGGCCAAGTTCAGCTATTACGAGCTTCACAATTTTTCACGTAAGTTGCCACGCAAATATTATGCCTCTCACTTAAAATGTCATAATAGTTTCTTAAAATTGAACAGATTCTCCTTTAATTTATAAATTATAAAACGTAACGAATAAACATGAAGGTTGCATTCTGATCTTATTCGACATTGTTCAAATAAAAAGACAATTGAATTTTCTTTCAAGAGTTCCAGTTGAGTCGCAAGCACAAAAAGAAAATATTTCCAATTTTTGTCCGAATGAAAAAGGAGATGTAAAATACATCTCTTTAAGCGAAAAATACATTCAAGTCAAAATGAATTGAAAGCATTGTGACAACAAGGATTCTTCTGAAAAGAATTGTATATTACAATTTGTTGCACCTTTTAATACCTATGCTAAAGCAAGCCAATTGAGAGTTGAGTTGTCGGATGCGGGAAAAAGCGCGGGTCTCTTTTCACCAGAAATAAGCGTCAAATTTATCAACAAGGGCAATGACAGTGCGAATGGGGAAAATGAGATCGACTGATAGCAACCTGTTCCACGTCCACGTTTACAACTACAGAGGCCGCCAGAGAAAAGAGGGCTGTGTGTTTGTTCTTCTATAAAAGGGAGTGGGTCAGACGCCAATGTGGTCAAATGATTGTGTGTGTATGTGTCTGTGTGGGATTGATTGTGCAATAGCTTAGTCATTTAATGATGCACCAGCCATGCCCACATCTCTTCAGTGTCCAAAATGGCACGTGCTAAACGATCAAAGTTTTATGGCGACAATCTAGATGATTTTATTAAAAAATTTCAAGCCTTTTTTGGCTTTGAGCTTCGACTGATGCAGCTGGGCCGATGGCGGCGGCGGTGGCGGTGGTGGCGGAGGTGTTAGCTCTGGCAGTATGGCATCCGTTTCGGTGGATGTTGACGATGAGCACGCCGTGCCCGTGGGGGTGCTGCACTGCAACGAACTGGTGTAGGAATTGCTAGAGCTGGGCAGCTCCAGTCGACCACTGGTAATAGGCATGCAGTGGCCAGCGACCAGCACGAATTCATCATCCTCCGGCACGGTGGCACTGTCGCTGTCACAACTGAAGCCAATGCCATCATCGTATTCATCGTCCTCATCCTCCTCCTCCTCCTCCTCCTCCTCATGCTCCTCTTCATCCTCCTCTAGCTGATCCTGCTGCTGATGCTGCTGCTGTTCCGGCTGCAGCTGCTCGTCCAGTTGCTCTGGCTGCAGCTCATAGTGACAGCCATCGTCGTAAGCCAGCGTCTGCTCCGGACCATTGTTGCTGTCACATTCGTAAGCGTAATCACAATTGGAATCGCAATCATAATTGCCTCCCAGCGGCGCCACCTGCTGCGGCGCCTCAAACTTGCACTTTTGACTACTTCGGCTGCAGTCGCTTCTGTTGCTGTTGCTGCTGCTGTTCAAGTTGCTCTGCTCCAGGTCATTGTAATCTTCATTCGAATGCTGCTGCTGCTGGAGCTGCTCGAGCTGCTCGAGCTGGTTGCGCTGCTCGTTCTCGAGATTGTATGCGAAGTCGCACATGAAATCGTTTTGTAATCCCACGAAAATGGCGCTTTTTGGAGCGCCCAAGACAAAGGAGTCGATGTGATAGACGCTATCACGCAGGGCTGGAACATCCTGTGGATAAAACATATAGAAAACAGAAGAACAGAGAGAAAGACAGAGAGAGATAGAGAGAGAGAGAGAGGGAGAGAGAGAAAGAAAGAGAGAGAGACAGACAGTGTGTAGAGAAGATGGTGTGAAAGAGTTAAGTACCGAAGGTGGGAAAGAGAGAGATAGAGTGTGTGTGTGTGTGTGTAATAGAAAGAGTGAAAGAGATATATACACGTACAGACACAAGTGTAACGAAAGAGAAAGAGAGAGATAGAGAGAGAGAGAGACAAACGCGAGCGAAAGAGATCTAGAGTTGTGCCAATCTATGGCTAAATGTGCGTGCGTCTGTTTGTGTACGTGTGCGACAGAGACAGACCAAGACGATGACAGTGAAAGAGAATGAAGGAAGGAGACAGACATAGTAGCAGGCGACAGGATACAGGAAGTTGTGGCAAGTCTAAGAGTGCATCAAATAGTGGCGCATGCATGACGACTCTACCAGCAGCCACATCACACAACAAGCATATAAAGACAGTTATCATAAGGATGTTGCCACAAAATGCTGCAAGCCACATCGGTGAAATGAGCAAACCCGACAACATATCGCACCGACCGCAAATACCCAAACACAATCTTATGCCAAATGCTTTGGGAACCACCTAAAAAGCTTGTACAACCACTACAAAAAAAAAAAAAAAAAATAGAATATATAAAAAATGCGACAAATAGAAAGCGAAGCACCATAATATAATCATAAACGAGAAAAAAATTATAATGATAAGTTTTGCGACGCAACGAAGCTTGAATATATCCGCTTCGAAATGGCTTAAAAATATATTGAGACCATCTGCAGTAGCCCTAAAAAAATGATATATATTATTGCTCGACTCAGAGATATCCTGTGACTCGGGAGTTGGTATCCAA